TTTCCCGTTGGGCCTCCACCCCAGCCGTGAGCCGGTCTCTCACTCGAACCTTTTTCCGCGCGGTGCGCTCTCGCACACCTATTTTAAATAAAAATATAAAAGTATGTAATAAACGTATACACATATATACATATACATATATATATGTGTGTGTGTGTGCGTGCATGCGCGCGCGCGCGCGTGTGTGTGTGTGTAATATTTCCGCTATTTTTAAATATGTAATAATGTATTTATTAAAGTTGTATTGTATTCCATTTTAAAAAATGGAGGTGATCTTGAAATCTTCGAAGCTGCATCCATAGATAAACCGTTAGTAGTATTATATCTTCTTGATGTTACAACTTCAATAAATATATCATTTCATATCTCTAAAAATAACGAAATCATTCTAAGTGAATAGAGTTACTGCTTCACCTTATATATACATATATAGAATAAATACGTGCATATAAAATAAAACATATTCTAGATTTTCTTGACAATTAATTCTTTTGAATTTAACTTTTTCGCTCCTAACGCCGGCTATGTCTGGCATCAGGAAGAGACCCATATAGACGAATGCTGGCTATTCGCGAACAAATTATTTTATATCTCTTATAATAAGAGTTACGCCAAATTATCTTGTACAGCTATATACAACTAAACGTGACCAATTTTGTCAAATAATATATATTTAAACATAATTAGTAATGATAGTATATTGATGTCTATAATGCCACTGACATGAAGAGGATAATTAAAAAACGGTTTAGGAAGAAATTACAATCATTTTGTTTTAGGAATAATTCTTTTTTTTTAAAAAACGCGTCAAAGTTGCGTTGTTCAGACGTAAAACGTAATTTTAAACGTCCAAGACTATGTATATACTTGTCCATGTATATACTTTTAGTGAAGATCAATGGTGATATGCCAATAGTGGACCACTTTCTGAGCGGAAGGGTTAACAAACCTATTTTCATTAAGTATAATGATAGTGTACTTTCTTTCAGATGTATTCTACAGTTTTGTCCGCTACAATAATTCTTAGGACGGAGGTATGTAACAGACCTTCTATTCTCGCAGTAATGCATGAAAAATTTTGTTTAATTATGGTTTGATATGAATAAGACGCTCGCGCGTATATAATTAAATACATTTTATTTAAATCAAAATCTCGGTATAACAATCAGAAAGAATTTCCGGTTGTTATGACAAGATTCGATATTTTACAACTAGAAGTAGAACTATATTATAAGTATTATATTATTTATTACATTATAAGGATTTGTTTAATATTTTTCAGTTTGATTTTAAAACTTATGATGAGATATATTCATGATTACAATTAGTTATTTTAATCTCAGCGCACTCTAGCAGTGCAATTATTGTGTCAGTCGATACAAATTGGGCAAATATGCTGTATTGTTTTATGTCGTCGTGTTGTTTCCTATAGTGAATTGGAACAAAATAGTATGTATCATGACTGAAAAAACGTCTCCTCTTTCCGCTGACACATCTAGATATCCCTTCGCGTAGTCAATTTTCGAGGAAGTCTGTTGGAAGAAATCGTTATCTAATATTCCGGATTGTAAGATTGGAAAATTACCTGATACAATATGGAATGCAATATTTTCTCCAAAAAGGGGTAAAATTATTTCTCCTAGTGTATAAACAGGATATTCGTTTATGCCATTTAATTTTAGAATATTGCTATAGTTGAATACTGTCCTTAGGTAAAAAATTATCTTTGATTATGTTTGGCCCGGAACCGGTATCTAACATAAAAGCTACGGGTAGTGTTGACTCGCAAAAGTTTATCTGAACGGTAGGCACGCGACTATGCTTGTCGAGATTTACAGTTACGGGACGTATTTCTAATGCGTTTTTGCCTATTGGACCTTTTTTGTCGACGGGTGTGAAACTCGTTCGGACCCCTGTGCCACACCCGATTTCTAGGGGTCGCCGGAGTTTCCCTGTTCATTCATTTTTCTTCGGTTATTGCTTGCGATTCGTAATTCGCAAGTTTCGAGGAGATGCCCTTGCCCTTTACAATACCAGAATAAGAAGTCTGAGGGTGCAGTGTTTTGACCTATCTTAGATCGACAATTTTTAGCATTATGCCCAAAATTGTTACAGATTTGACAGACGATCTTTACTTTATTAACCGCGTTATGTTGCTCATTCTGCTTTTTCCAACAGTTATTGGCCGAATGACCTGGCTTATCGCACCACTGACAGATTACAGAAGGTTTATTCTGACTATTGTTATTATCAGTTCGACAATTTTTGGCGTTATGCCTTGATCTAGAACATATTTGGCAAATAATGTTATTTCCCTGTAAAATATTAACGGATTGTCGTGCTTGAGGATCGCGAAGTCGACATTTGTCAGCGCTGTGTCCGCGTTTCTTACAGATTTGACATATTAAAATTTCTGTTCCAAAATTATTTAATTTTCTGCAGTTTGCAGCTGAATGTCCTTCTTTATAACAAATCTGACAGGTTTCTCGTAATTTATTCGTACTCAGCGCCTTGCTTGATGTACCTTCCTGATTCTGTCGTAGATCTGTCATCGAATGAAGTTCTCTTTCTATTCGTAACGCGTCGCCTATCGTTTCCTGAACGCCTAAATTCCTTGTTATTCTTTGTTCGATTTCTGGTTTCAATCCCTTAATAAAACACTTGCACATGTCTTTTTCTAAAGATGTTTTAATACTTTGATCAGAAAGGGCATTCCCCGAAATTTTATGGGCTTCCATTATCTGTTTTCCTAAAATCTTTACCCGATTCGCGTATGTGATTACGTCTTCTTCATTCTTTTGATAAATATGGCCTAATTCATCTTGCAATTGATATATATTTTTTGAGGCGCCATAAACTTGTTTTAAATATTTAGTTAATTGTGTCTCACTGTTAAAGTCCTGATCTTGTATAGTGCGGCGCGCTTCGCCCACAATTCTTGTTCTTATAATTTTTGTAAATTGCGATTCAGCTTCATCTGGTAACATGAATTTTGCTTCCTTGCATCCTTCGATAAAATAATTTAAAGGGATGTTTTTGCCGTCGAAAAAAGGTACGGCCTCGACCGCGTATTTTAGGGTAGCAAATAAATTTTGGTGCGTCATGATTTCGTCAGGTCCCCTCGATTGAGGGATAGCTACAATAGATCTATGTTTATTTTCAGACGTTATACTACCGAATTCGCGCGCGGATTGAGCGATAATATGCTCTGAGTCAGCGGAACCGTCGAACACAAGGGTCTTAGAATTATCTAAAATCTCTGATTCATTCAGAGAGAAACTCACTGCTTCAGATCGAAACTCGGAGGATTTGAGAGGGGTGGAAGTGTGTAATGTGTTATGTGTACTGGACTTTAATTTATTCAGATTTCCTATAGCCGTTTTATAAAAGCTTTCCACTTCAGATTTATTGCCAGACTTTTTCGTATTTATTCCCGTCTCCTAAGATCGCACTTATAATCCCGGACGAGCCCCCAAAAATTCATTTGGTTTGTTACGTCCAAATCCTTGATAATTTGGTCAAGGAGAGAATGGAGAGGGTATAGAAGGACGGTCAGACTCAATCTCACAGGTATACGCACGGAGGCGAACACCTATGAGTCGTACGCACCTTTTAAGTCCCGGAATGTGGGCCAACGTCCGAAGGGACGTTATGACACCTGTTCCACTGGACAGTGCGAACGTCGGTCCTATCTTTTCGGTCAAGGAACTTAATCCCTTTGACCCGGGACTGGACCTCGTGCG